TAACCATTGAACCCCTGCAACTAACTAGTACCAGTACTAATCTAGTATATATATTGCTATATATCCCGGGTCCCTCCATTTTCTTGTATTATAATTTAAAGGATAGTAGTAATGTAATTTAATAATGCTATTTTTAAATACTTTTTTCTATTAAATTAATACTTTTTTGCAAATGCAATAGCATATATAGGATCTTTGCTATTAAAATAACTCTTTAAGGCTATGTTAACTTTGTAAATAAAATTAAATTTGCTAGTTATCTAGTAATCCAATTTGAATAAGCTTTTTTTTATTTTGTAAATCTCAATAGAATCTACAAAGATTTTATTCAAATTGAATAACTAGATAGCTGGCAAATTTAATTTTTATTTATATATAAAATCAATATAGCCTTGGAAGGTTATTTTCATAGTAAAGATCTCATATATAGTTTAATAATTTTAACTAGTAACAATTGGTTTAATAAAAATCTTGAGGCTTTTACAATATTATCTTTTAACTATTTATACATATACTATATAAAAATTAATATATATATCTTTATAGCTAAAATTAAATATTTTATAATTATTGTGGCAGATCATAATTCAATCAAATCATAATAAAATTTAACTTATTTTATATCCAATTTTTAAATTTTTTTGGGCCTTTTTTGTTAGGTTTTTTTTTATAGTTAAGTTAGGGTTTAGGGTTAGAGTTATTAGAAAGAGTATAAGTAGATTTTGGTAGAGCTTATATATTTAAATTGAGACCCCTAAATTTCACAACAATGATTATAACTATCTTATTGCACGGTGTCTGACGTGTTCCAATAAGTAAATGAAAAAAGCACGGGTTGTCACATAAGACCTGTATATAAACAATTATACGTTTACTACATATTTGATCGACATAGTGCAGCCGATTAACCAAGGACAAGAATTAGTGTTGTATTAGCCAATTTAGGCTTAGTCAGCTGATTTTCTAACAAATAAATTTAGCCGATTTTATGTTAGATTACGTATTAAAGATTAAAGTAGATATATTACCTCTCTTACATATTAAGAAAAAAGTAGGGCCGAAAAATTCCAAAAAGAAATATAAAACACAAAGTCGAATCAAAAAGAGGAAATCCCCGATAAATTCCGAAGGTAAAAAATATTTCGTATCTTGTACTTTAAAGTCACAAGATCGACCTCGACTTAGCCAGCTAAGCCGAATTTTAAATATTGTCGATAAATAAGGGTCGACCACAAACACTAACAACCGGATTTATAAAATCTCGTATCTAAAATTTTAAAAAGTGGGCATCGACAAAAATTTATTATCATTCGATGCTTAAAATGTTTAAATTATATAGAATAATTTGATTTATACGTATTACGTATACAAAGGTGTCGTTATTTTGTAAAAAATATTCATAAGTCGTGTTTTTACTGACCGGACCTCATATATTCAATCAGTATAATAATTATATATATATAAATTGGAAATTTGCAAAATTCTTTTACAACCGAAAAATTGCCTGATTTTTCGTGATTTTACAAGAAATCATAGTCTGCAGAGGTTGCAAAGCGTAATAAACGAGTGCACTACAAGCAAAGCATGAGTCATCAGGAGTTAAATACAATAGCTAACATGTTTGAAGTTGTATCCATATTATTAATATTATTAAAATAGGTTTGGTCAAATAAAAAATGCATTAACGTACTGTATTTGCGAATAAAAAATTATCAAATTTGATTTAGATTATTTCCAATTTTTACTTTTAATCATTATTAAACTTTTGGTAAAAGAAATTTTTTCAAAACGCATAATTCTAACCTTTTATTATAAGAGATAAGGACAGAAATCGATTTTTCTACAAATTTATAACGATTAAAATTTCCGAAGTGTCAATTATTTTGATTGTACTCCTGATCTGCGTAACAAGTAACCAATGTGAGAAAATTAATGTATAACATTATTCCATCGGCATTAATACGCATAAACTTTATTGTTGAAATTTTTCTTTCTTCTTATTACAAAAAACCAATTAACCAGTTAATAGCTATCAGAAGAACGATTTTAGTAATGAAATTCATACTTAAAATACGTTAGTAACGATAATGAAATTGTTATACTTAAAATAAATCAATCAAATAACGGAAAGTTTCGAATAGACACTTCGGTGGGATTAACAAAGCTGAAACTTTATTTAGAACCCTGAAAATTTGGACCTAAACCATATTAAAATACGCCAAAAATAAATAAGGGACAAATCAACCGACCAGCCAATGTTACGTATGACCATCGACAATGTTTAGAATGGATCTTGGGTTAATGTTAAAGTGTAAAAAATCTCGATAAAATAAACCGATTCTTTGACACATACAGCTATTTTCATTATCTTTGACATCTACAGCGATACGGTATTTCCCTTGTGCGACAGCCGTAGTATCAAGATAGACTAATGTTACACATTTTGTACCAGTTAACCAGTTATTTTACCTATCAACGAATTTATTTGCATTGAAAGTACCACATTAAATAAGCAATTGATATCATTTGCCCCTGACAATATTCTTCTTTGTAAACTATATATAGGAGAGGCTTCTTCTATTTACGATTTCTTTCGCTTTTACTTCTTCTTACTTCTTACTTCTTACTGAATATTTTTAACAAAATATTAAAAAAGAGTTATATGTTTAGTGAAAATATGGTAGTTTTCATTTTTTTCAGTTATTCTATATGATGCGATATATTGGAAAACAGTTTGTTTTAGCTAATCATATTCCTGATCTCTCCCTTTTTTTTTATTTTATTTCGATCCGGAATCTTGTTTTTTATTAACGTTTAAAGCAAGAACACCTATATAAAATTTTGGTTTTGGGTGACGTAGGTACCGGAAAAACCAGTATAATCAAGCGTTATGTTCATAATAAATCTTCTATGAACAATAAAAGTACAGTGAGTATTATTAAATTAAGGACCGAAAGTTTCATATAGATATATGAGAACAATTATGGATAAACCGTTTAAAAAAAAAAAAGGATTCGACCATAAACTCGTCTTTCGATTCGTAAATAATACTCGTCGGTCAAGGCGGTATAAAGCCTCCTATGGATTTACAGATCGCCAAACATTTTAAGTTATAAAAATTCGCAAGTCTTGATATGCCAGGTTGAGGAGTTGTGTGTGGTTGTCTCAATGAATAGTCAATTAATATTACGCTTTTTTTAATAATATTTTGTTATTATTATTATTATTTTATTTTTATTTTTTCTTAACCATCAGATTGGGGTCGACTTTGCTCAAAAAATCTTGCAGTGGTCGCCAGACAAATTGGTTAGATTGCAATTATGGGACGTCGCTGGACATGAGAAATTTGGAAATATGACAAGAGTAAGTTAGTAGAAAATGGGAAAGTGGAAAGCAGATTCGATTAAAATTCTTTTTATATGTAACTCGATTTGTTTTTTTTTGCGTTCAGTTTTATTATCAAGAAGCCGTTGGGGCCCTTATTGTGTACGACGTAACACGATCTCATACCTTTGAAGGAGTCAGTAAATGGAAATCTGACCTAGATCAGAAAGTGACCTTACCGGAGTCCTGGGGTGGTGGACCTATTCCAGTTGTATTGCTGGCTAATAAGGTTTAATGAAATGCGAAACATATTTATCGTTGTAAGCCATATTTTTAGGTTCGATGGCTGATGACTAAACGTTCGCTTATTATAGTGTGACCTGAACCACGAAGGCCCTAATACGAAAACTGAAACCGATATATCACAATATTGTGAAGAGCAAGGTTTCACAAAATGGTAATCACATAACTTGTTTTTTTTATTTTTTTATTTTATTTTTTTATTTATTTTTGTTGAATTAATATTTTTTTCTTAATATGTTAATAAACGGAATCAGGTTTAAGACTTCGGCAGTAAATAATCAAAACATTGGAGAAGCAGCACAATTTTTGGTATCAGAAATTTTGAAAGTCGAACCACAACATCAGAAGAATGATAGACGTGGATATTTAGTCAACAGAAATGATGACACCATAAAAATTAGATCAGAAAAAGATCCACCTAGTAGATGCTGCTGATTTTACGTATTATTGGTCACGTACAAGAATAAAATTCAAGAACTTTATGCATTTATTTTTTCTACAAAATCAACTAAACAAATCAACTGAACTAAAATTAAGCATCCGTGTTCTCTCGCCTTATTACGCTTTATTACACTTTATTACACTTTATTACGCTTTATTACGCCTTGTTAAAGGATTGTATAAGTTTCGAATAAAAACTTCATCAGGGATCCCTTGCAATATAGGTGACGCTGATAATGTATATATGATCATAGTGTTACCTACTGCAAGGACCCTTTATTGTAATAAAATAGGATAAAATGTATTGTAATAACATGTGAAGCAAATAAAACGTGAGAAAATCGAAATCGATTTCTATCATTTTCTAAAGTAATTCCTTGCATTATAATAACAATATGACGTAATTAATAAAATTTATTACATATATATATATATCTGTATATATATCGATATTTATATTTATAATATATAATTGATTATACGTAAATAGTGTTACCTATAACCATACAATACAATACGTACCACAAAAAATCCTCTAAAAACGTAAATATTGTTCGATAGATATTGTACGTACGTACTTACTAGTACGTATAATATGACATACCGCTGATACAGTAAACACATAAAAAAATGAATTTCTATAAAATATATAACTTATGTTATACTTTTTTTGTACGTATACTGCAACAATGCTTATAAATGTATATTTTTGTATTCGTAAAATAAACACATGATTATTGTACGTAATTTATAACAATGTCAAAAACAAGTGGTGATAATATTTCGGATAGTATCAAAGTTTCTGATAAGGTTTTGAATCTTCAAAAAGATGGTAAATTGAAAATTATATTAATGATTACAATAATATAAGTTATAGAATGAATTTAAAACATTAAAAATTTTAAAAATTTTAAAAATGAATGCTTTTGCTAATCTGTTTTCGTAAATTATAGCATGGTTTCTATTCACTTCCGTAGCTAGTCCTGATGCTGTCAATTTGGGACAAGGTTTTCCTGAGTAATATATTTTAAGATCTATATAATGATTCTTTTATAAAAGTATCTGATAATAAAAAATTTTTTTACATTTTAAAAAAAGTGACCCACCATCAGATCATATAAAAGAAATTGTAGCAAGAGCAATTTCTGAGCCTGAGTGTAATCAATACGCGTAAATTTCGAATTATTTGTTTTTTGAAATTAATACCTTGGAATGTTAGTAATCCAATTATTTTGTGTCATATAAATAGTCCTCCTAAAGGTAGATTGCATGCTCGTCAAACTTTGGCGAATACTTTTGGTCCTTTATTTAATAGAACTTTGGACCCTGAAACGGAAATCATTGTAACTGCTGGTGCTAGTGAAGGTCAATTTATTAATTTTATATACTATTAATTTATATACAAATTATAGTATGCTAATACTGTATATTATTTTTAGGTCTTACTGACCTTTTCGCAGCGTTCTTAGACCATGGAGATCACGCTATTTTGATCGAGCCCTTTTATGATCAATACGTTGTGTGTATCTCTAAATCTCTAAATCTCTAAATTTCGATTTTATAATAATAATTATTCATTATATTATTATTATTATATATTATTATTGTCATCGTTAATAAAACATTTTAGGCCAACATTACGATGAATGGTGGTGTACCTATATATGTTCCACTACGCCCGACCGGTGATCCAACACAGAATATTTCTTCGCGTGAATGGAAAATAGACATCGATGAACTTCGCTCCAAAATTACTAAAAAGACTAAACTTATTGTTTTTAACAATCCGCATAATCCAACGGGAAAAGTTTTTTCTAGAGAAGAAATGATGGAAATTGGAAAAATAGCACAAGAATTTAATTTACTTGTCATTAGTGATGAAGTGGTACATTTTATATAATTATATTACTTTATTATTATTATGAATTTTTTTTATAATCTTCAAGTTGAATTTATTTTGTCCTTGTTTTTATAGTATGACCGTTATTGTTATGCTCCAGATGTTTTCGAACGCTTTGCTACTCTTCCTGAAATGTGGGAGCGTACCATCACTGTTGGTGATAGTGGTAAGACTTTTGGAACAACCGGTTGGTGTGTTGGATGGTTAATCGGTCCTAAATATTTGATAGCAGCTGCTCTAAACGCACATACTAGAATTGTGTTTTGCGTGAATTCTCCACTTCAGGTTTGATCTTATATATACATTAACATCTATTTTTTATACACATGTTTTATACATGTTTTATAATTAATAATATTCTTTTATACTCATATTATGATAAAACAGGAAGCAATAGCTATCCTATTGGATGAGATTAATCATAAAGAATATTTCGATCAAAAAATTTCCGAGTATTCATCAAAACGAGAAAAATTAATGTTTGCATTATCATCAATTGGAATACCGTATACAATTCCCCAAGGAAGTTATTTCATATTGGCCAACACTTCAAAAATTCAAATACCTTTAGATTACGAATTTCCTGAAGATTTTATCAATAAACCAAGAGATTTTAAATTTTGTTATTGGCTGGCTAAAGAAATTGGTATTATAGCAATACCACCAAGTGAATTTTATTCACAAAAACATAAATATCTTGTGGAAAATTTTGTAAGATTTGCTTTTTGTAAATCTGATGAAACTTTGGAACTTGCAGCTAAAGCTTTGATTATGTTGAAACCGTATATTAAGAAATGTTGATTTTGGTAATTATAAGCATTTGCATTATTAAAATGTGAACTTATGATATATTTATTAAATAAATGAAAAACCGTTTTTATTTTGTAGCTATTCACCGAAATATACCTTTTTCAAACCAATCAGAGCAGATAACTCTACTTTGTATTGTATTTACATTTTATCTTTCATCTATGATTCTAAAAAGATGTAAAGTTTTTGCTATCGAAAAATAAATTTTTTTATATTTTAAAAATATTTGGGATCTCAGATAAATTAAACAAGGAAACTTTTAACCAAATAGTAAGATCCATTTTAAGAATTGATAAATTTTTAAAAAAGTGAAAATTTGAATACAAACAAGTATGCTCGCGTACTTACTCAGTATATATCAGAATACTTTACGAGATAGTAGAGATAGTAAAGATAGTATGAATTTGCGGTTATTGTCAAGAAATAATAATTAATTCAGAGAAATATATGCGTATTATATATAGTATATACGTATTTGCAACATTTACAGTATTTTATTATTTTTATTATTTTTATTCAGTTTTCTTCTCCCATATTTTACTATAAGCAACGACTTCATGATTAGTTGATTTCTGAATATTCTCCATGTTTTTGCTTAATTTGACCGTTTTTACATATGCACAAACAAAATTTAAAGCTGATTCTTTTAGCGGTATACAATGCTCTTTACCCCAACAAAATACTAATATATCATCAAAATTAAATTCGTTCACCATTCCACACATACGACTAACCACCAACTTCAATAATTCAGTCAATCCCATCATATCTGCTTGTGTATAAACATCTATTAATAATTCAAGATCATCGTCTACATCCATCAATTTATTTCCATAAAGATAAAATAAGATAACTCTAAAAGTTTTATATCCTACATTATGTAATTTAATACAATCAGATGTAGATTCACTCCATCCACCTTGTAACATTTTTTCGAAATAAGTAGAACCAGCAATTAAAATAATTTTATGAACTTTAATTCTAGTACCACAATCTAAAAGAATTTCCATATCAGCTAAAGTCTCATTTTCAAAAAATTTATCCATTTTACATCCATATCCTCTATCAGTGTCCATATATTTATAATCGTTAAATAATAATAAATGAAAAACTAAATCAAATTCTTTTGATTTATTATCATCAGGAAATATTTTAGAAAATGATAAAAATCGATTATATCCATAATCTTTAAAATTATCGAATCCAAATTGATAACCCATATACCTAGAATTTGAAGGTAAATCAACCAAATGACTTATACTACCATCTTCTTCAATAGTTTCTTTATCATCATCAAAGTCATTGGTATTTTGAGAAACATGATAAATTATTTCTACTTGTAATCTAAAATTTCTTCCTCTTGTTAATATATGATTATAATATTCATAAGGTGTTTGTACTGCTTCAAGAAATATGTCAACAAAATTTATTTGTTGATTACCGTTAGGATAAACTTTTAATCTCCATAAACTAGTATAAGGTACCCAAAATTTTTTACTATAAAAGTATTTATTATGTGGATATTCTTTTATCGCTTTCTGAAAATTAGGAACTTTCCAACTATATGTGCTCACATATGGATTATTTGATGATGGTATTGCAATATCATATTCCTTTTGAAACATTTTTTTTTTAATAATGATAAGGTAATTGGAAAGAGTTAAAAGAATATACGTAAACTGATCATTGCATATATATTTTTCTGTTTAATGATCAATTGTTATCCTTTTTTGTGATTGGTGCGACTAAGCTTTGTTCACAGTACATCATTTTACATATTTTACATATTTTACATTGTAGGGCATAATGCTGAATAAGGTATAATGTTAAGTATTTATATATTTTATATATTTTACGTATACGTAACCAAATAATTTGTTTTTTTGCGTCAGAGATCGACAAGCATAATAAAATCTTATTTTTAGGAAATATCTGTTTTTTACTGCTACGTATATTGTGTAATGTGTAATGTAAGTAATGTATAATACTCGTATACATACATATACCAGTTACGAGTAATTCACTATATAAGAGAGCTAGTTGGATCCATAATAAAGAAATCTATTATTGAGAATTGATTAATAACTTTCTTATGCTGTACATCTTTATCGATTTCACATGTTTAATGACGATAAAAATAATACATGTTAGAAAACAAGTATTTGTTGAATAAATAATATATTTTGAAATCAACAAATCAGCAATTAAAAATAAAAGTATTGTTAAAACGGAGAAATAAGTATTGCGGTCAATAGTAAGTTATTTTAGTTTAAATTTTTATCGTAAATACATTCTTACGTACTTTGACAATTCGAGAATGACAATTTGTTAGATTCGTTCAGGAAAAAAATTGGCCAAAGTTGTAAATGAATATCATGAGCTTTTATTTAAGCATTATTAATTGTTTTAATGACTTTGAGTTTAAACGAAATACTGCAGATTGATTTAAACTTAAACCTATAGAAATGAATCGATTAGTCTTTTGAGATATCATATTATGCGATAATAAAATTGGTGGTTGTTGTATCACAGGTCACAGGATAGAACAATAAACCTTTTTACAAGTATTCTTTCAAAAATCTTCGGTGTGACATGAAATTTTTCCATATGTTTTTTTATATTATCTTAATTCTTTTCGTATCTCTTTCATATATAATTTAAACGGTTGAAAAAATGTCTAGAAAGGTTACATATCAACTAAGGGTTTTTGAAAGAATACTTGTTGAAAGGTTTATTATTGTTCTACTTGTGCATAATGTCACCTTTAACGGTTTATTGTACGATGATTCACGAGAGTGGCCAATCCATTTTCAATGTGTTTAAATTTCAATGAACCTTACAAATTTGAAGATTTATTCAAGTCTAAACAAATAAGTGAAATTATATTTTTTTTGGTATGAATAAGAAACGTCCCTATTTTTGGCAAAGGTCGTATGTTTTATTAATAAAACTATACTTGATCCTTCTCTTTTGCCCGCAAAAAGCCCAAGTGCTCTTAAGTGCTTTCATTTAGTAACATACGGCATTAATAAGCATAATAGTCTATAAAGCGACGCAATACGAGCTAATCTTTTATTCTCATTAGTAATTGATTGTAGAAAATTATTATCAGAAAACAAATTTCACTCTTATGTTATCATCTTTATAAGATACATTGTTATACTTTTTGCTAAGCTAAATTAGAACCGTTACATTTTATTAATGCTTATATTATAGTCTAGAATCTTAGGTCAAGGTAATCCAAATTTTTAGGATGTAATTCGAATTTAAAAAAATCTTAATTTATAGATAATAAATATAGATGTGAATTTAGCACAAGGTATTTATTAAGTATAACGGAACTCGATATAATTTAGTTATCCAATTTTTGTAATTAGTCAAGTACAGCACAGTTCTTTATTACAATTAAATGATAAATTAAAATAAACGATGTTTAAAATATTATTAAAAAAAAAAAAAAGAGTTAAAAATTATTTTTAAATTATAAGCCAACAAATTATTTTTTTTCGTGATAATATAACCAGATTTATTTGATATATAAAAAGAAATTACGTACGTTTTAAAATCGGTTAGATTTTAAAACTAACTACAGTATTAATAAATAATAAACAAAATTTATTACTAAAAATTTCGTTACTCTATTTTTTACAATACCACTTCATTACTTATTAACGGTTTTTTTTTCATTTTCATAAGGATACTTAGTTTCAACTAAGAAATAGTTAATTTGTCCTAATCACCGTGTAGAGGTGTATCCTAAGACAATAGGGTGAGGGTCTTGGGCATGCCTTTAAGCTAAAGGCATGCTCTTTTATTTGATATTCTAATTGGTTAATACTATAATACTATAATATTAACTGCTTCTACAAAAATAATATTGGTATACCGTTTTTCACGTAATAATGCTCATGAGCATTATTTCGAAAATCGTGCACCCTAAAAATAATATATATAAATTCAAAATAACACTCATGCGCGTCCCAAAATAGCGCGCACCTCATAGTAAGGGATGTATATTTCGAAACTGGATTTAGTACTAAGTAAACCTTCGAGCTTCAAAAAAGTTGTGGTTCAGAACAACTTTTGTTAAATCTCGAAGAAAGGTTTACTTAATATTAATTCTAGTTTCGAAGCATTTTGTTTGTTTACTTTTTATACAAAAATTACTTAAAATTTTAATTGTATCAAAATAACGCTCATGCGCGTACTCAAAATAACGCGCAGGTGAGCATCATTACGTGAAAATACGATATGTGTATATATTTATTTATAGGAGCATGCCCGGGCATGAAGAAGCATCCAAGGCATGCCCAAAAATTTCCTGTGCCCCTCACCCTACTCGACAAAGAGCTCGCGAAAACTCAAGTAAGCTTAGAACTTTAACAAACTCAGTTCCCTGATTAAATAACCCCTACTGCTTGTCAGTTTTTCTTTAGGGTTCATGTTGATGAAACATGACCCACTCAAAAGGACCACTAAAAAGAAAGGAGTAAATAAATAAAAGTTGATTATAGTCAATAACAAAAATATTTTAATATTTTCAAAGAATATCTCAATGTTATCTGAAACAGTTGGGATTAAAGTTAAAATATTCTCTAAAAATATCACAACACTTTCGTTACAGACTATAGGTAACAGAAACGCGTAATGAAAGTTTATTTTAAAAGGGATAAGGTTAAAAAAAAATATGCGTTTATAAAATCTGCCAACGCGTTTTTAAAATAAATATGATATGTACGCGTATTGTTGTATTGGATGATAAACAAATAAACAGGATGATCGTCAAATCACATGCTAAAATAGGGGAGCCGTTAATTAGCTGCGCGATACGAAAGTATCGGAGCAGCATTTTGTCTCGAATCGATCACGGGTGCGGTTTCGTGATTATCGTGTGATTTGAG